AAATTCTTCCTCATTCGTCTGGAAGAACGTAACAGAAAACCACTGAGGATGAGTGTACTCAAGTAAGAACATCTTGCGGCTAATGCATTGTCTATAAGTCTGGAACTAGCTGTTGCTAAGACTTCTTTCGCAGCTCGCGTGCAGAACTTATACTATAATAAGCCTTTACTCAAAAAAAACTTATGAGGAATAGACCGCCTCAACTGACTCGATCAACGCGCGCTTATCAGTAGAAGTGCTCTTGTGGTACAAGGCAAGTGGGTTGCACCACGAAGTGCCTATATCATAGGATTCGCCTGCACACCCCGGCGTGGTCTTACAGAGATGGAGAGAGATTTTCTAATGTGTCTGTCAGGTGACACCCCTTGGAGTATAGTCACAAAGCCTAGGGAAACGATTACTTAGTCATGTGCTCCATACCTGAACGATTTTTGCGCTGGTTCCGGAACCATCTCTTATCTATTGTTGAAGCTATCTATATCCGCCACTTCGAGCCAGAACTGTGCCTACAAAATATATGTGTACTTCTACCGTGGCCCAAATCTGTCGTTACATGAGCACCTAATTTGTACCCCCGTCAACCTTTTGATTGGTTGTGAAGATATCACACCTCTGTGCGCTTCCCTTGCAGTTAATATATTACCTTCAGTCACAGTGTGATTTATCAGTTCGGGTGTTGAATTAAACACCATACTCGCACTTTTAAGGTGCAACTCCTACTATCTAAACGTATGAGTCCGATGCGTGTTATCGAAACGAATATTACACTCAGCAAATGCATCTCAGTTTGACTCATGTGGAGTGAATACTCCAATTTAGCACTTGGTAGGATGAGGTCGAGGTTGGTGCATGTGATTCACCTTTCACCGTGCCTCACCATCGGAAGAGAACGAAGGGCACACCTCATCCAGCACGCAGGTACCCCTGCCGAGTGAACATGCACACCTACCGAGGCAGTGCATGGGCATCAATTGACTCCCTTAAATGCTGGGTGTCATCCGATCAGTATGCTGTGATTAAAACTTTCTTCAATCCTGACAGGGTTAGCACTAAATCTCAATACTTGTAGCTCCGAAAAGCTGGTCAGATTGCGGATGATTCTCTGAGCTGCGCAATTTGCTTGCAGACGTTTTATCTCCAGTCGAGTTGATTTCGCCAATGCTTCACTGCGTACTGGCAATCTCGCTGAATGGGTCATCAGCCCTTGATTGACGAGAAGGTAACATCTGGACTTGATTTACTCAATTCGTGTCACGTGACCACTGCCCGTTCGTTGTTCACTCACCGCCTCTTTCTTTATCATGTTATGGTTTAACATTCGTCCAAATTCTTCTTTCGCAGCTGCTGGTACTCCGGAACTACGTCAATGCGCAGATTTGTTTAAAACTCTGTAGAGAATCATGATTTGACCGAACAACGAACAAGCAGTGGTCACACGATTTGAATCTAGGTAGCTAAGTTTGGATGTCAGTTGCTCGTCGACCAAGAGCCGATGACGCACTAAGATAGATTGTCCACCACGCTTTGAACCACTGATAAAATCACCACGACTGATGATAAAACGTTTGCAATAAAATTGCCCAGCTCGGAGAACAAACCAAAACCTGACCTGTTATGGTTAATTAACCGAGTACCTACATTGTATTGCTTTGAAAACATCAGTGATGTATGAGGAGATGTATCAGTGGCATGCCATCTCATGGACAAGTACCCGTTGATGTGGCGCAGTTCTGTTCCTCTTCAAAGTTCACATGTCCTAGCAGGCTACCACAGTACTACGACACATTCTCAGAGTACAATTATCTGCAATACTTCTGTGCATGCAACATCGGGCGATACTTCGAGCTAAGTAAAGCATGTGATAGTCAGTCTCTTTGGGTTCTGATCATGCACCAGTATTTTGAACGCGGTCAATTGATCGACGTGATGAAGAGCCAATACAAGATGCCTCGCAACGGACGAGGCAGGGTTGCGATTTCTTAGTTTATCCGCACCAGTTTGATCCGCCAACGCCTTCCGCAGCCAACGTAAGACCAGTCTACTGTCAGTCTTGCCTATATAAACGTCTCCGTAACTGCAGACTTGAGTATACGCCTAATTTTATTGGCTAACTGCGCTTCTTTAAACGGGAGAAACAAGTAAATATCCTTTTTCTCTGTGGTTTGAACCGTTGGTTTTTCCTTGGGCTGTCGGCCACGAAACTGGATGAACCTGTCCGGGTAACCGTTCGACAATAGTTTTATATAAAACTCCTCTTCGGCATTAAGCGTGTCTGTAGTGCAAAATTGGCTCTGTAAAAGATGAATTTGACTAGGGCGCGTTTGTACGCAACTGGAGTGAAGCTAAAGAAGCGCAGCTACTACCCACTCCAAATAGCTCTAGAATTAAGTGCGCTGAAGTGTCCCATCCGTCCGCCTCCTAATGAGCACTTCTAAAAACGGTAAACTGTCTTACTGTTCGATCTCGTGCGTCACAGCGATATTAGAGTGTGCGGAATTAAGAGGGCAGCAAGTCACTCGAAAAGCTGACCACTAGTAAAGATTAGTATGTCATCTACGTACCGTTTGTAGAGCTTCACTTCCCTGAGACTGGCAGCAAATTTACTTTCAATCAGGCCCAGCAAAATATCCAGCAAATCTGATCCTATCAGGCTGCCCAGTGCAACAACATCAATATGTTTGCACACAGTCCCATCAAACTCAAACCGTACATTCTGTGTGCATAATTGAGTCAGATCCGTCAGATAATCCAAGGGGAGACCAATGGACAGATTTTGGCTCTGCAAGAATCGGCATAAATCCTCAGCTGTCTCACAGTTTGGCGCATTGATGAACAATGAATACACATCTAACGAATTCTAGCGTCGATCGCGCATGCAACTGAACCAGCTCAAAGTAATCTCTTAAGCAATAGTTTGATAGCAGGCTTTGAACAAGTTACAACAGTCCAGCTAACAAGCGGGCGACCTTGTGTTAATGTGAATTATTCACACACATGGTCCGGCTCGGTGGCATTCCCACTTTGTATAACTTCGGTTAGCCTCTTATTTTGGTGTTACGGTCCCCGACAGTTTCAGTTGCCGATACTGCGACGCGAAGATATATTCGTGTAGCAAAAGGATTTGAAGTTTCCTCATTACTTGCTTCTCCATCAGGAGATTGTTGTCCGGCGTATTGTCCGGTTGTAACTCCCATCTATCTCTAAGACTGGTATCGATTTTTGCATTGCAATCTACCTTGTCCATGACCACAATACCACAGTCTTTGACCGGTTGCAGTAACACCAAGTGCTCCATTTCACTCAACTCCTTAATTGCCGTGTAGTGCACGGCTTTCAAGAAACACCGTTGCCTTATCGTAGCATTCAGGAACTGGTTCGATACGTCAAATAATTTTGCGCGGAACCATCCAGCAACTTCCGCTGATCTGGGTGAGAGGTCGCAGAGGTTATCATATAGGTATAAAAACTAATGGGTGATTGAATTTATCAACTCCCTTTGGTGGTAATCGGAACTTCATCTCTAACGAAAGAACCTAGTTGTTCACACGTAAACCGAGTCAATGACAGTTTGCGTCCATGTTTCTGCATTGCAGTGGGAAACGAGCATCCGATGCTTCAACCAGCGAGCTATGTAGTCTGCGCAATGCCCTAGTCCTGGTACGGCATAGGGTTTCGGTCGGAAATACTTCATACTTGAGCCGGCCCTCCCGTGCCAGTTCGTCAAGCGTACCCACGAGTGGCTTTTGCGTCTCCAAAAACTTTTGGTCTCTTTCAACACATGCGCCTATAGGTGCGGAGGTAATCTTGGCCAGATTCATGCGCTCACGAGTGTAGCTTTGCTGGGGATGTTATTATGGATCTCTATAACCAAAGTATTAAAGGTCCGGACGTATCTTCTCAAAGTTAGCGGGGATGGGTTCAAAAACTAACCCCACCAAAGCCCCGTAATTGATCAGCACAGCAGCAATTGCCTGACCGCGTGTCGTTCGATACGCTAATCGCACGGCCAGACTTGAGTAAAATGCTCCTGCCGCTCCGAATGCATTTCAACATAAAGCAGCGCCTAAACTCTGGAGGCATGGTGCAGTACATTTAGACACTGGTCAATCCAGCGTAATTAGCCCACGTGTCACTAGATAATCGCCAATGCTTGGGCTGCTTGCACAACCATGTACTACAGCATCTAACACGTTTTTCTTGTGGCTGTGCGCAGTGTTGCCTATTCTCTGTATGAGAGACCCAAGTAAAGTCAGAAGTGACCTTGAGGCATAGCGCCCCAATAAACAACACCAAAAATAAACCGACAGCTTTTGTTCTGACTTGTATTCTACGTTTCTACGAAATCAAACTTCAAGTTTCCGTCAAACATGGAAAATCACATCTCTGGAAGCCGATTCCCTAGGGTTAGATGGGTACTCTAATTCGCGTAATCTTAGTTTGCTCAAGAGAGATCGGTTGGGCTTTGTAAAAAAAATACCATAGGTGCCCTATCAAACCGGGCGCCCTTACTTGGCTTTTTGGTCATAGTGCGGGTAACCATGCCCGCATTCGGGTCACGAGCCGTTTCACTCCGATCTTAGTAATTGCGATGCGTTTTTCTGCGGGTTGCAAGATGACCTTTTGGAGCCACGTGCATTCCTTCTTCCGTTGATTGAACGAAGGCGTGTAAGGAAAATGTATGCGCTGCCACTGTGGATGAGCTAGCGTGGATGTATGTGTGCAGGATTGTGTGTGTGTGCGCGAGACAGTGGGCATCGTGCATTCTGTCGTGAGCAGCCTCCCAGTGGAATAGTTGATCAGTCGGACTCGTCAACTAGAGCCATTGGCCACGTGAATGGACGTGTGGGAGCTAGGTGAATTGAGACGAGATGCAAGGATAGTGAAACGGGCGGTTGTCAGCGCACCTAGTCCTACCCGCCTGTTCCGACTAGATGAATTAAGGCCATCATCCAGGGTTTCACGTGGCAGGCTTATAAATAGGTGGACGGATCTCGAGTACCACCTACTCGTCTTATGACAACTCTGTGTGGATTGTGTTTGATACAGCGTCTGCTTCTACGTACTTCCAGTAAGTCATCCTGTTAACCTTTCTATACGTAAAGCTGACTATTCCATTAATTAACTTCACCGTTTGAACGTATTCGTATGCGTACTTAAACATAGGGTGCATCAGCTGCGACGTGTGATAGCCTGTGGTCAAGGGTGTTACCAACGATTGCTGGGTCGAAGACAGGTTGACATGAGGCAATAAAAACTAGACCATAATATTATACAATGAAGATGACTGGTCACTTGAATTTCGACTATGTGAATACCGCTTCTTGCAGTTATGACACTCACACCAGTCTGTTTGAGGTTCCCGTAGGCAATTATGAGAGAACAGCAGTCCAACTAGGTTGATGTTCCATGACCTAAACTACTCTCCATTCCTCGCGGCAATACACTAACTTTTGTTTCTTTCCTACTGAGTCCTAGGTATACAGGGGGGCTGTCTGATACTGACAACCATAGAAGACGTCATTCCATGAGTGTTGCACGAATGCGGTCACTCTAGCATCGGTCAGCAATTTGTCAAACTGATTGACAATAAAATTTTCAGTTAAACTAGTGGTTCACGAACTTCAAAACATGCTTACTTATCACATTTCGCTCCTTTCTGCATCTTTACAGCTCAACCGTATGAAAGCATGTACCCACTGACCTTGCACAAACTGATACTTGGTGGTGGTGGTGGTGTTGGTGGTGAGTCTCTAAGCAGCACGATGGATCGACCACTATACTTTCCGGCGCAAGCGCATTCAGCACATGTTGCAAACAATGATTCAGCTTCACTACTCAGTTGTCGGACTCCCAGTAGCTTGTGTGAACGTGCCCTGATCGATCAGATCAGCCCCTCAGTGGACGAGGGTTATTCATCCGTCTCTTCGTTATCAACTCTAATACAGTCGAACCGTGATTCTCTAGAACCAATTTTCAACAGCACACCAACTCGTCTGGAGTTAGGTCATAGAACACTGGGGGAACGATTCCACACCGATTCCGAGCTCGGTAGCCGCTATGCATTGGATAAATCTGTAGCAGGTCGCAGATCGCTGGTCAATCCTCCACATTGTACTGATTCATTTTGGACTAGTTTTGGCTCTGAACTACACCGATGTGCTCCACACGTGGACCCCACGGCGGCATTCATAACCCCACTGGTACAACCAGTACCGGTTGGGTTTTACGCATCAAAAAGTAGACAACCGATGGGTTCGATTTTCCAGAGCCTTGCCCACCTCTCTGGCGGAACGTATCAGCCAATTCAAGAATGTCATGGTTCTTTCAATGGCTGTATACAAGGTGGAAAGTTGACATCCATCCCAGTTCATGAAGTCTACAATTCGGACACCATCAGTACTGAAGGTCTATGCAAGCAGGTAATCTCGAGCGTCCGAGCAGAAATGACGCAGCTGATAGACAATAGCGTGAAACAACTGCAAAAATACCTAGAACAGTCGTTCATGGCCCGAGACATGTCGGTGGGTAAATACATTGGCCCAGAAACCGAATGTACTCCACTTAATTTGAAGTCTATTCCTCGGGAAAACTCAAACCTCTACATGCAACCGCTAAACGCGTCTGTGATTGATGACCGCCACTTACATGAATTGAACGTAAACGCAGATTCAGCTCAGGGCACCAGTTTGGATCGAAATGAAAAATATGGTGTGTGGAACGCATTGACTGACGAGTTTGCTTTCCCTGAATCAGAAAAGCGTGCGGAATCCACTCAGAAATCCCCTACCAAAAGTGAGCCACTTGTTAGTAGGCGTCGACGTAATCGAATCCGGACGGGAGCGCGCCGACTGCGATTGCGTCAATTTGCTTCACGTTTGGCGGAAAAGCGTCGAAGAGACTTGGATGCCGAAATCAAGGAGTCCGAGTGCGAGGGTACCCTGGATCTCCGAGTACGATTAAGTGCGGATTCAAAGCTGACGGTCGGTGAAAGTGAAACATTTTACCTGACAACAATTGGGGATGTTTGTAGTCAACCCCAGCTCAAGGTAAGTTCGCCATCAGTGCTATGTTTACTCTCCCCTCTTTGTGCCTTTGACCGAATGACGAGACTCAGACTAAACAGTTACTTTGGGTTTATAGCAACGGTCCTGATACGCTCGACTTCCCTGGTTTGGTAGGAAAGTCTAAGATCGTTTGTCGCAATTAGCTCTAGCATATCTCAAAAACCCTAAATCGCCACTAACTCTACTGGGACTCGTCAGAACCTTGTGCATACACAATTACCCATCTGAGGTTGTGCGGTTTAAATAAATTTAAATCACAAGAGTAAATTGTGTAACTTTTGACTTTTTAATTTAGGACAACGATGTATTGAGAGGAAGATCCAGGAAAATTAGCTCATTTCTGGTGTTTTCTGGTCAGGCTAAATACAACGCATTCAGATACTTAGGAAATGCTCAGACAGTTTATCCAACAGTTAGAGGTGTAAGATGGGCATGGAATTGATGATAATGAACAATGAACAATGATATATTACAGGTAAAAAAGCGATTGCTTTACAAGTCTCATGGGATGGTTGAGGTGAAAGTAAACGTAAGTGTAAATCGTCAATTTCAGCGTCTAACAATTCAGGTGCCCCTCATTCATATAAACATTTTAGAATGTATACTGAGTTGTTACTGTGGAGTAGTATGGGAAGGAATATGGGGAAGGTATGTCTTAAGAACAAAAGAAACGACAACGCTTACTGTTGCCCCGTTTTCTTGGACTGAGGTAATTGACGAATGCAGTTGTAATATATCCGGAACTATATTCCACAACAGCAGTGTGTAAGTAGTGAAGCACAAAAGCTGAGAATGAGCACTGTTTGTTCGCGTTTGGTTGGGGGCGTTAATGACAGCCGCTCTTAAATCGCTTCCTAACATGTTCGGAACGGTTGTATCCCTTGAATGGAAACGATGAGTACACGGATTTATTTGCCAGGGTACTCTGTTTGCATGAACCCTAGATTGTGATCAGTTAAAGTGTAACAGTTTGAATTGTCTTCATCGTCACTAGTGCAGTTTCAGTTATGTAGTTTGGAACTAATAAATTAAATCGCTTGCAGTCATTTTATGGTAAGTGTCAACGAAGTGATGTTTGTCCAAATGCATACATCAGTAAGGCAATGGAAGTTAAGATGACTTTACAGACGCGAGTAATGGATACTGTCAAAACGACATAACTTCGTTGAACGTAACTTAACAAAGAAACCTTTTCCTTCCTCAGGTTACATCACTGACAGCAAGTCATTTGAAACGCGCGAAGCTAATGTTTATGTACTCTCGGTATCCGACCTCCAACACGCTGAAACCCTTCTTTCCTGAAGTGGCGTTTACTAGAGCGACCACCGCTCAAATAGTCAAGTGGTTCAGTAATTTTCGGTAAGCGATTGCCTTTTTCGAAGCAAAGTCCCGGTCATCACCGCTCCGAAAACTTCGCTGCTCTACACCGGGATTCACACGACAAAAGCGCAGTGTGAATACGTTCGTGTGGACACATCGCAACGACAGACTACGGTGATTGCCAATCCGTGAGCTGTAGCAATTTATCGGTTGCAAGTTGACACTGCACTTTTTTTGCCGATCCGTTTATCGCAGTGTATAGGATAGGATGACGATGTCGAATTCAGATGACAGATGAAAGCCACCGGTCTGTCACTTTTTGCTACCGTTGTGGTTGAACTGTGTTAAGGTAATAAACCAAAAAGCCATACAAGTTAGCCTATTTTGTAGGTTAAATAAATAAAGTAGCTACATGATTTTCGTGTAATGCCTTTCGCTACAGCCTCATTCGACTGATATGATCTCTCATTTTTCCCTTTTCTGGATACAAGTGAGTTCTTTTATATACAGATTGAGAAGTTTGCCCGTCAACTTCACGCCGCCGGCCATGAAAATACAATGGAAGTGAACATTACTCGAAGCCATGGACTATTTCAAACATTAGAACTGCATTACAACAAGAGCAAAGAAGTGGAGGTGAGTGAGATAGCCATTAGGGCGGCACACGTACCAAGGAGCTAGTGTTTTCCTCGTCCTCAAGGCTGTCACGTGGGTCAGTCCACCTGGAAGTGATCAATTAGAATTTAGTTTTCTGTCGCGGCCTTGATGAGCCAGAAATGTTTGGACTTATTTAATAGGTGTTCCTTTGACATTCAACGGTTTCATGTGTTTGGCAGCTGATAGACATAGGAAGTAATGATAGAGATAGATGGTAGGTTTGCAACTAGTCAGCTCAGCCTACCAACTGAACGAGGACAAATCTATCTGCTGGAATATCCTTTCATTGGCAAAGTATAAATTGTTGGCCAACCATAGCGCTTGACTGAGTATCCAACTGGGGTTAAAATGATTCTTAACCAATTGGTCTAAATGTGGAATCGTTTCACTTCTCGGTTTCAGACACCTGAAAGTTTTCTGCAAACAGTTCAAGTGGCGACAACTGAATTCTACCATGCAGTGTCCCAGAGGCTAGATCACGATCCGTCTTGGAAGAAGGGGATCTACAAAATCGTCGCTCCACTCGATAGCACTTTTCCCGAGCATCTGCGGTATATCAAGTAACCGAAGAGAATGATTTTGTTGATCTCTCATGAATATCTTGTCATCATTGAACTGAGACGTTGTGTACAAAACAGACCATATTATTAACTGCTGCATGTGTCTTCAGATAAAGCTAAACGGTATCATATACTAAGCACTTTTGGCCTTGTTGCTTTGTGGTTTTTAGTCAACTGGTGGTACTTTGTGATTTGGTTGTAAAGCGTACGAACAAGTGGACATGGTGATAGTATATGAAACTGAAAGCTGGAAAGTCCCTTAGACGGTAAAGAAATCCTTATGTAAATAGTACAATAATGTGCTGCATACACATGTATTCTGATGCGGCGGCGAGGCCAGTGCGTTGTCTTGGAATCGTTAGAGAGGAACGGGTAAGTGCAGTCCATCTGTTTGTATGATGGGAATGAAAAGCACCATTCCCACTCCATCTACCCCGCTAAAGGAACATTAGCAGCATATATGGGTGGAAGCGTTAGACGCTCCACCAGCTGAACGATTTCAGGCTGTTTTTGCAGCTCCATGCTATCATGTACACACTGTTCAGCACTGTTCCACATGCTTAACATATCTTTATTTGAAACTACGCTGAGCAACACCGTAGAACGCTACTGTGACTGCGCTCGCGGCTCGGCTCATTTTATATGTGTGCATAAATTAGGCAATGGACGTGAATTCAATAAGAACAGTATCACCCGTACAATGAAAACAACTCGCGCGTTTTATGCCCAGTCGTTGAGGTGTTGGCGGATGTGGTTTAACCTGTGCAGAATCGCCAGCAGGTAAGGGGCTTGCTCAAAAAATATGGAGGCGGTTCCGCACATTATAATTGTGGGACCTACCATTGGCACCGCAGTTCGGCCGATAACGAACTACTCAGTTTTAGAAGCATAGATGATTGATGCAAAGTACATTTCTTTAAGCCTCGATGCCGAGCTTTGTTGATAAGTACGCTTGGGTTTGAACTGTTGGGTTATGCCGAAGACTGGTGGTAAGTTCATAACTTAGTATGGTATAAATCACTCAGCTTTTGTACGTCTGTGGTTATCGTTTCGTATTCAACCCTAACACGTTAGCCGGCTCAGTGAACCAGCAATTTATTGGCACTGTGATCAGAGGTCGAACATACTAACAAAATAGGTGGAGTTTGATGGGAGTTGCCCAGTTCGTTCCCCTGACATCCTGTCGATACACTAGGCCTCGGTAGGTGCATTCTGATGTGCTCTGAGAGAGCTGGTCGCCCCACGATCTCTAGAACCTATCTCGACCAATAGTTGACTTCAGACCAGCTGACTACTAAACATGCATTCCATACATCCTTTTGGCTCATAATAAAATATAGGCAGTTCAGCTGCTAATAGGTTGAGCGGAATTTATAATGCTAATGGTAAGCTTGCCCGAACAATAAACAATGGACAATGATATATTACAGGTAAAAAAGCGATTGCTTTACAAGTCTCGTGGGATGGTTGAAGTGAAAGTAAACGTAAGTGTAAATCGTCAGTTTAAGCGTCTAACAATTCAGGTGCCCCTCATTCATATAAACATTTTAGTATGTGTACTGAGTCGTCATTGTAGAGTAATATAGGAAGTAATATGGAGAAGGTATGTCTTAAGAACAAAAGGAATGACAACGCTTAATCTAACGCCGCTTTCTTGGACTGAGGTAATTGATGAATGCAGTTGTAATATATTCGGAACTATATTCCACAACAGCGGTGTGTAAGTAGTGAAGCACAAAAGCTGAGAATGAGCACTGTTTATTCGCGTTTGCTTGACGTAGGCATCTCTACTTATATAGCGTAATGTAAGTGGCTAAGCGAATCATCCAGACGTCTTTTGAGTACCGTTAGCGTGGGGGAAGAAACAACGTATGTGGGAAGAGCGTTCCAGTGTTGGCATACACGAAGGGAAAAGAAATTCCGGTGCCATTCCAACCGGCTGTATTGTGTGGCCAGCTTTAGCTGGTGTCCTCTGATTGTGGTATTGCTATTCAGTTTTGGTAGGTGACGACAAGAATGGTTTGGATTCTTCAGGATCATATAAGTCATGATCAAGCAGCCACGAAGGCGTCGAAATTGTCCACTGTAGACCCCGAGAGTGTTCAGCCTCAATCGGTAAGGGAGATGAAACAGACCGTTTAGGTTCTTGGTCGCCCTTCGTTGTGGCAGTTCAAGAGCGGTAAGGTCTTGCTTTTGCCATGGTTGCCAGGCGTTGATGGCGTACTCAGAATGAGGCCAACTGTAGGCGCTGAGCATCTGAGAAAAGATGGAAGGATCGAAATGCCCGAATGCCCTCCGCAAAAGCCCAAGGTGTTGGTTAGCTTTTTTGGAGGCTTTCTCGGCCTGACGGGAACAGCCCAGTTCTCCCTGCACTATCAAGCCTAGATCGCATTCCGTTGAAGTGCGCTGCAATATTTGATCCCCCAGTCTTTATTCGCAAGTAGTTTTATGGCGTATGCTCAACACCTTGCACTTTGTAGCGTTGAACTGAAGCAGGTTCTGAGCCGACCATTCGTAGACCCTGTCAAGCTCATCCTGAAATGCTGCATTGTCGCTGATTATTCTAATGGCTCGCTATATCTTGAGATCATCAGCGAAGAGTAAGGAGTTGGAGTTGATTACTGTTGCGAGATCGTTTACGTAAATCAGGAATAGTCGTGGACCAAGTACGGAGCCCTGGGGCACTCCACACTTAACGTCGATTGGGTCAGAGATGACGCCGCGAACTCTTACATTCAGATGTCGTTGAAGCAAGAAGTTAGCGATCCAACCGAGGATTGGGTCACCAATTCCACAACACTGCGGCTTGTGAAGGAGGATACGGTGGTTCAGACGGTCGAAAGCCTTTGAGAAATCCAGATATACTGCGTCAACACCTACGCCGCTGTCAACGGTCTCAGTCCAACTAGATCTGGCAAGCAGCAAGTTTGAAGTGCAAGATCGGTTCTTGTGAAATCCATGTTGTTCTTGTGCTATGATATTGCGTTCCTCCAAGAAGTTCATCAGCGCTTCGGCAACAATCGCTTCCATGATTTTGGAGAGCACCGGAAGTAGTGTTGTCGGGTGATAGTTGGCCGGATCTGTACGACTTCCTCCCTTATGGATGGGAGTGACGATGCCCTGCTTCCACATTAACGGCACCCGCATCTCATCGAGCCATCGTTGGAAGAACTTGCAGAGTGGGTCCACCAGGTTTACTGCAGCCAATTTCAACGCTTTGGACGATATTATCAACGCCGGGAGAGGTATGCTCGCGCAGGGCAATTAGTCTTTTCATAACATCCGCACTCGTAAACGTGATGTGGCTAAGTCCTGGGGGTGGTACAATGATCGGGAACAGTATATGCGGCGATGTCGTGCTCTGGAAGTTCGAGGCGAATTGTTGACCTAGGGCGTTGGCCGCCTCGGTTGCGGTTTGTGCGAGTCCACATAACGTGTGTAAGGCAGGAATTCCTCGCTGCACTTTGCGGAGCTTGTTAACGTGTCTGTACAGGAGCTTGGGGTTAGAAAGGAATCTCTCAGCTAGATTCTGTTGGTGTTGTATTTTGTCTTCGCGTACCAGATTTACGCAGTGATTCCTTTGGATAGTGTGGGCTCCCCATATTTCAGCACTCTGTGACACCTTGTACCTTCGTCAGAGTAAATTTCTCGTAACGATACACTTGCGTGTCCTGCTGCGTATGAATGATTTTACTGTCTTCGCTCGTGAAGACCCTTTCCTAGAAGCACTAGTTACTTACGTGTTGAACTGGTGAGCAAATTCAGACCAGGAGACATCGGGGGATCGTTCTGTTAGAAATGCCCAGTTTGTAGCACCTATAAGTTTGATTAGAGCACCGCAATCCGTAATGAGCTGACACTCCTCGGTGTTTTCTGAGGAATACTCTGCATAACAGATGTACTTGAACACGAGGGTTGCATGGTCGCTACGGCCTAAAGGACTCTCTATCGATACCGTTTCGATCATAAGCTCTTCATTGGTGAATACGAGATCCAGGACACCCGGTTTGTTTCCCATCCTGAATCTTGTGGGAGATAAGATGTGACTGCAGAGTGGTAGTCCACTAATTATCTACTGTACTTCCATTTTGCAGTGTTCGTTGATACGAGCTGCAGTTTCTACGGTATGAATATCGAAGTCACCAACCAGGAGAATGTGACTGTACGACTGCGCGAGAATAGTCTTCATTGTGGAGGCTAGGCAGTTGTCCACTTCCAAAGTAGCCGACGGAGGGCGATACACCACGCCCAAGAAACATGCGTCCCCATGGTTTACGTGAAGAGGACACCAAAGCGCATCGACAATCTGAACCTCTGGATCATCGATGAGATCAATGTGTAGTTCGCTGCGATAATAAAGTAGTACTCCACTTCCTCTACTTGGTCGATTGTTGCGTAGAATAGACAACCCAGGAGTGCGATTTCTGCATCAGTGGTCGCTTTAATCAACCAGGTCTCGGTTATCATAATGAAGTCCCTTGAAATCGAGGCCTGACGCAGGCGAAGCTCCGTCAGTTTGCCTAGAAGACCTTGTGCGTTGGCATAAAAACAGGAGAGTGTTTCCTAGGTTAGAAGGTTGTTTGTGGATGTAGACAACAGGTTTGAGACTTGGCCAACCCTCTTGAGGTCGGCTGCTACTAGTTCTCTTGAATTGTCTTAGGCTCGCGAAAATGACATGGAATAACTGCACCATGTGATCATCTTCATGATGATCCTGATGGTCACTCACCTCCTGCAGTGTCTCGCCGGATGCTATGACGGCAGTCAGATCAGTCTCCGTGGTGGACTCTGCAACAACGGGTGTTCCCACTGATTTGGTCCTCTCCATGGAGTAACCAGTAGCCTCTGGTCGTAAACCTGCTGCTTTTAGTCGAAGTTCTGTTGGTAGGATGTTCCGGAAGTTACCCCAGTTCTGTAGCACTGTCCGTAAAGTTAGCTCAGACGGTAAGACCAAGTTCAGCAAACTAGGACCACACCCTTCGTTATTTGCTGACACGGGAATCCTGATCAGGGAGGTAGCAATGACATTTCCTAAAGACAGCACCTCATGAATATATCGCCACTGCTCCAGGTCATGTGCCTGAACTTCTTCAGTAGATGAAGCTTGAGACGCAGGGACACCATGAATAATGACGGTGTTGATTGTTCATATC